CCCGTGGCGAGAAACAAAAATAACACCGCCGGCGTGTACCACCGGTGGCACACGCTCGCGTGTCTATCAGATGGCATGCAGTATTTGCGCCGCCCCGTGGCGAGAACCAAAAATAACAACGTGAACGTGTTAATAAATAATCTACCTAAGTAAATTTTGCTTGAAATAATTGCAAATAATATCATGGATGCGTAGAGTATATATATATATATCGCGATATATAAGTAACGTCGAGCAAAAATGATAAAGCGTGCGAATATCATAGTTACTCGGTGTTGGTCTCGGGACGAAGTAAGTATGCTTCAACGACGACAGCGGACTCCCTTTCACCGGCGCGTTTCATTTGCGGGGTCTCGCAGTGTCTTCCCTTCTGTTTGCTCTACACTCGAACACCCTTTCACGATAATGACACGCACGAGGAGCGCCGGGGGAAGCACCGCGTTAACGGGAACGAGAAATTAATTCCGTCGGCGAACGTGTCGCGGTCATTAACGACCGCTAACATCGACTGGCCAGCGATAAAGGGGCGCCGCCGAGTTCGATGCATGCATTTCGCGCACTGCGTAAAACGCGGGACCGAGTAGCGTCCCGACGTTGCCTCGATTTACGTCACGCCGATGCTTGGCGGAAATGCGCTGACAAGAAAATTTCGAACAACGAGAGAAGATTCTCGACAAGAGAATCTCGGCGATGGGAAGATGAGAAAAAAGGCAGAGTTGAAAGCTGGGACGATCGCGAGCAGAATCAGAGATGAACGAAATTCTTATTTAGACGCAAACCGTTACTTGTCGATTAAAAATTCAAGTTTAGACGATAGAATTAGATAAAGACGAACAATTAAACGGTTAATTGTTCGCCCGAACGAACCCTGGATGCACCAGTGTCCAGACGAGTCTACAATTTAAAGAGGGTCCCCTGTCGAGGGAAGTCGACTCACGCTGCCTCGAACGGAATCCAAAACACCGCGTAGAACCGGAACAGTGTCCAGGAGATCGTTACCGATGGGAGAACGTCGACGCCAGATGATTTCCGCGAACGAGTTCACCGTCAAAGTCGAACGTTTATCCGAGAAGTGGAGCGCGAGAAGGTACGGATGCAGGGAGAAGGACTCGAGGACCAGAGCGATTCCAGAGGTCCACGGTCGATCGAGAAGAAAACCTCGCCGCGGTACTGCGGATGCACGATCGTAAAATACGAAAACGCACTATCTTCTGGAACGTCGACCACTCGATTTTCGTGCACTGTTTTCATAAAACCTTGACGCGGTAGTCGCGTGCACATCTACCACCGGAGTAGCTAGGTTTCGTTTTACGAATAGACGAGGCGCAACGTTCACGAAACGTAGGAACACTATTCGAGGGTGGAAGCGGAAGGTACGTCGATCGCGGAAAGAGGCGGAGTGTCAGGAGGTAGGAGAGACACTGTGTCGCGCGCTAAGTTACAACCTGGTGACTCGTCCGCAAGGATCGACGTAACCAGCGGAGAACCTTGCCCGATGCCCGTTGGAGGAACGACTTCCCGGAAGAGTTAGCGGCGACCTCGGGCATGGCATCCCGGGCCAAAGTGACACCCGGCCGGTCGGCTCGAGCTCGCAGCTCGAAAACCCAAACTGACGGAGAGGGTAGCGCCGCCAACCGACCGACAGAGACCCGGGGAAAGTCCGTGGAGGGGATGGAACGTACGGCCGGAGGGCAGAGGGTCGACTCGGTCGATATCAACCCCATACGTCGCGCCAGACGGATCTCTCCAAAGGTTACCCTTCCCTCTCTGCTCGATCGCGGTCCTCCCGGGACACCGACCGACTTCCCCTCCAACGGAACGCGATCCCTCGAACTCCATCCGCGTCTCCCGTTCCGACGGTCGACGTTCACGAATTCCTTCGCGCCAACCAACCGAGGTCCTCTGAGGCCAAAGCATGCGAATATGCCATACTCGAGCTTTAGGGGGAGGAATTAAAAATCGTCTGGATACTGTCGGTGAAATCGTCTAGATACCGTCACCTCGACACAGTCAATTGCTCAGATCGTTAATAGTTGAAACAGCGATACGTTTATTGACTCTATCGACTCTACTAAACGTAGGCTACGTAACCCTTTTATCGGCAATTCTGTTATTCACCGGCGATAACTTTGTTGAGATTGTTTGTCTCGACATCTGTCAACTGTCGTTGTTTATCGTTGCTGTACCGTAATAATTTCATAATGGGCTGTGCCCGTATCTATTGAAATGAATAAATAAATGAATTAATTAAAATTATCATTAAAATTATTGTTGCACACGAAACGTCCAATTACTCGATCTCGGTAATATATCGGGATGAAAAGTTCGTGCGTTTTTCACGTTGTATTCAGTTTGTTCAATTTTTCGAAAACATTGAAATCACTTTACACGCAAGTGAAATGAAAGATTTTAAGATTCGAGTAATTTGTAATACAGATACGGATGTTTGAGACGTCCCGACAAAATCGCACGTTCCGTGTGCAACAAACCCGACGTTACCTGTTACGAATACGTAACACAAAATCGTATCGTTCGGTCGGATAGGGGCCGGAAACGGGTGTATCGAGAGAGCCGGCCATTGGTCGATGCCGTTCGTGCAACAAGTGTCAGGTCGGCCGTGAAATCTGCGCCTTGAGGGGGCTCGACGGGTGGGGTGGAAGCGTATGAAAAGAAGGAGAAAACAGAAGGAGGGAGAAAGGAGGACAGGAGGAAGGAGGGGAGGGGCGAGAGAATAGGGGCGGCAGGTATTCGTAAAACGGTTTCACCGAGCTAGGGGAGAGAAAGCTCTCAGCTGGCGGTTGCAGCTGGCGGAGGATGCGAACCGGACCAGCGCAACCTGACCGAGGCCTAGGTCATATCGGCGGCTTATCGACCGCTAGCGATGGGTTGAGATGGTTTCGATGTCCGTTTTCGTATCGAGTTAGCTACGTGGCTTGCTCATAGGAGAGCATTATTATTTCAAATGGTACACGCTTCGACCGATGCATTTACTTTTCTTTACCTAGTTCGAACAGCCATTGCCGAAATTGGTTCGCCGCTTTAACTTTACGGCTATCGTATTTTCTCGATCGATTTAACGCGTTCACGCCGGCGTGTACCACCGGTGGCTCACAGGAATATGTCTCATCGGGCGGC